TCGGAAGAACTTTCTAGGAGTTAGCAAGAAAATGAAGGTAAGCAAGGCGTATTCCCTGAGCCCTAGCTACCCTCGCAGATGTGAGACCAAGGACTTTGTCACTGTTGCCAGTCCAGTGGGAACAGTGTTGTAGGTTTTTCATTCTTACTTGCTGAAGGAAGCTTCCATTGATTAGCAAACTCTCTGAACTTCACCTAGGTAACAATGCAGAGGAACTTTTCCTCCCATGCTAGATGTCTGGGAATCACTACCCACTAACAATATTATCATTTACTATGAAAGTTAAGTGCTTAACTGCTTATTTTCTTTCTCTTCTCTGTTCTTAAGTTCAAGGAAATCTGACAATACTAGGTAACGCCAAACAAGCTTGCCCAAGGTAAAAGACATTAACTTTCCTCCAAAATCACAAAAATACATCACTCCTCCATTTGGCAGGTTCTAGACACATACACTCTTAATACCAATTATTCTTCACAGATGTCTACGTTAAAGTTGCTTGACTCTCCAGACCGTTGTATAAAGAGCTTCATTCAGAAATAACTAGTGGAAACCTGCTCTATCATTTTATAAGCCCTGCTTTACAGCAACTTCTGCAAAAAAAAGCCATGCACTTTGTACTGCCACTGCACCTACATCCAAACAGTAGCACTTCCAAAAAGGCTGGAAAAGCAGGCTACAAACCAGGTTCTCTCTACTAGTCAAGACTCGTTTTCAGCAGAGGTAGGAAGGAATAGGTCAATGAAGAAAGAATTGAAAAACAGCATCTGAGATGTAAGTTAAAGCCTGGATGTTACCCTTTACTCTTTCTTTAATCTATATTGCATTATTTTACTTTGTTCTTGGAATAACCATGTCAAGCTACTCTCTATTAAGAACTGAATCCTGGTAGGCTGGAAAGAAGCCATGGAACTAATCAGCTGTCATGAACAGACAAAAGAACTACAATCATGGGCCAAATGGCACCAGATTTGCTGCAAGAGTCAAGGAGATGCTTACAGAAGAACCTGAAGTACCACCTGTCAAGTCTAGCTGAGACAACATCATCCTACCAGCAACACTGAGTCACCTCGATCCCAAGCTTTGCAGTCAGCGGAAGCACGTATAAAATCTAGACTTCAGGGCCTGGTTTCACATCAACATTTCAAAATTCAGCTGTGCAATGAATACTAAGCATGAATGGAAAAATATGTATTTTTAGGTCCAGGTAGAATTCACAGTATTTAATTAAGAATCAGCTTAATTTTTCTGTACCCTACTCTAAAAGCTTTTCACCTTGTGGACATAAAGAATACAGCTACAGTGAAATATGTGTGTTAATTGAGTACAGTCCTCTCCATACAGCAGAAAATGAATTGACAATGGAGTACAGAATGTGAGATAAGTTGAAAAGCCCTAATTCACATTATATTTATCGTTTTTTAACTACTGTTTCAAGATGACTTCAAACAGAACTTCTGGGCTTTTTCTTCCAAATGATTCTCTCCCTTAAAAACAACATTAAGTGTTTATTTACTCTAAAAATTCCTTCTTCCCAGATTCCTGTGACTTTAACGTTTTATACATAAAAATCTTACACTATGAAAGGCCTTTAGTAGTCAGCCTGCCGCTTTACCTTCTAATGGAAACAAAGCTTCAGTTTACAATGTTGATGTTCGTCACTTCAATTTTAAAGTTTCCTTACAGGGCCTTACTGAAATCCAATCTTTTGCACATCTGTGTATGCAATACAGCTTAGTGACAGGTATGTCATGCAAGTATCATACAGTTAAATGTCAGGATTTGAGAGTTTATCAAACTGAGCCTCTCCCAGTTGCTTTGCACCAAAATTCAACTACACAGAAAGGAGGAGGAGAGAGGACTCAGCCAGTTGCCCAGAGGATCAGAGCTGATTAAGCCATAAAACAGATTGAGGGGTCCTGTAATTATCATATGGCTCTTGGAAGAATCCACTTACACTTGCACTCACGTTTCTCTGCTCACTTACAATAACACCTGAGGTTCTTCGCTGCTGCTAAAAAAGATTTCGCAAGCAACAGTAAAGAAATGAGGAGAAATATAGACAGTCAGAAAATGCTACCAAACATACAAAGCATAGGAAGATATTTTCCTCCCAATTTTCAGTTTAGATTTTTTGTACACATATTTAAAGAAACCAGCAATGAAAAAAAATATATCCCTCAAAATTAAGTTGTCTGTATGTGCTGAAAGGAACATGGAGTTTTCAAGCTAGTCCCTTTTTACTAAAAACACGTCCCTCAGAAATGCTTTCTCCCTCAGCTGTATATAGGAAGTGTAGCCAATTACAGTAGTTATGTACCTATGTATGTATTTTTAAACCTATTACTAGGTATCATCTGCCCTAGAACTGTAAAAAGCCATGCAGGTCTCCAACAAACCTATCCTACCAGCAGAAGCCTTTATTTCCATGGATGCAGACCACACATACAAAGAAGCAATGAAGTGTCCCAAGGAAAAAAAAAAAAAAATCAGCTTTTATTCTAAATCATACAGCAAGTTATCTGAAATCTAGTGAGATTTAAGACTGCTTCAAAGCAGTAACTGAAATTAAACTGCAGCTATGAATAATATATAACCTTCCTGATCCATAATTGATCCAGCTTTAATCTTCAACAACAAAAATAACACTAAAAAAAAAAAAATCACAGTAGCTGAATATATATGTGACTACACACACAAAACCTTTCATCAGAGGTTAAGAAGTAACTATGTTTGATCTGACGATAGAGACTGTAAATTACAACCTTTGTTCACAAGTCTCTAGCCCATCAGCTCTCAGGCGAGCGCGGCAGTGGAAAACCCCATCTGACACACTGCTCAGGTGGCATTAGAACCTCCTGTTTTCTGTTCAGATGTCACTCCGCCGACCAGTTACCCCTGATAATGGTACAGCTTCCCTCTCAGGTAAGCATGCCAAACATATAACAGCAAGATGATTAAAATATCCCCTTGAATGTCCAACAGTACTGTTTCAAGACACTGCTGACAAAGCTTTAATACCACAACACTAATTTTCAACATTTTTAAACTTGATATGAAAACTGCATTTCATTGTTACACGAAGTAAAACAGTCATTGGTCATTTGCACTCATTCACCCCAGCACAAGTGATAAAAGTGAAAAACTGCCTTCTGAATAGGGATGAGAAAACATGAGAAGTTTTGTTATCAAATTGTGTCTCTACTCATCTTGCACTAGCCAGTGCATGGAAGGCAGGTGAGCGGAAATGCAACAGTCCACCAATACACCCCATGTTTTCACACACATCGTTGTCATGCATATCTCAAAAATACAGAAGTTCAGACATGCACCAAAATGTGTTAAAGCACTTTAAATGCTCTCCAGATGATAATGAGTAATGTAGTATTTACTCAGACAAATCAAAGCAGAGTAAAATGTTTTGTGCTTATACTTCAAGTTTCAGAATAACATTATTTCTATCAGAGTTTCTGACATCCAGCAGAAGGAATGTTCCACTGAAATCAGAAGCAAAAGACACCATCTAAAGAACTAGGAAAATAAGCACTGGTCAGAGTACTGCCTTTCAAAGGCTGATAATAAATAACAAAACAGCAGGAACATGCAGACCTTAAAGTCAAGATTTGTTTCTAGATACATGACATTTAAAAAAAAAAACCCTGAAAATCAGTAACAACTCTGCCTGATACTCCCATATTTGGGGTCTTTTTGGCTAAACAACTGTAATCTTATTGTAATGATCACGTGTATTGCCAGAAAATATTATTTACAGAATGATTATCACACTGATTACATAAAATACAGATGAAAATATACATCTTCAGGTTTAAGATAAGCCAAGCAAACTCACTGATAACTAAAGCACTTTGAATTAGGCGACAGGCACCAAAATCAAAACTGAATCACGAAATTAATGAAAATATAACAAACTGGGGAAAGTAGAGGTAAAGCAAAGATCAATGAAACTGGAATGATTTATAAATTACATTAGTATACCAGAAATCATGGAGCTTCATTAAAATTTTACCATACATAAAACTGAAAGAAAATCTTTACTCCCAGATTGTGATTTCTTCAAGTACTGAGCAGTTGTTCTCTTAGTGCATCTTTGCAATGCTTTGTACTCTACATCTTACGAAATACATCACCACATTTAAGTGCATGATTACAAACTGTGCTGAAATCATGGAAAAGCGCTTCATAAATCATAGGAGCAACAAAATCGCAATAATGCTCAGGTCCAGTTTTTAGAAGTTCTGTAAAAGCTGAAGTTTTAAAACAGGGACTTTGATCCCTGGTTTTCGAACTCTGACCATGCATCATTCAATTCCATGAAGATCATTTTGGCATACTGCTCATAAGGTTGTCCTGTGGCCTGAGAATAAACAAGATATATTAGAAGCATAAAAATAGTGGGAATTATGTGGCTTAGGAAAGATCTCACCCCTTTTATACTTGCCTTTTTTTTCTCTCAACAATTCTAGATTGCTGTGTGAATATAATTTTGCAGACAGAAAGCTCTCCAATCACATCCAAAGTTTGCCATGAGTATTTTAAACTCAAGGCCTTTGTTTCCTTGCATTGCTTCAAACTTTTAGTACAATTCATACATAACAAAGTTAGGTAAAAACAGTTTTCCAAGCTGTTCTTTTCATGAATAGTTTAAGATAATATTAGTTAATGATTAAATCCAGTCATTTGTGGAATTGCTTCCTGACAGACCTTGCAGCAGTGTACCAGAGTAAAATTTAAGCAAAACTTCTGGATGGGATTTTCTAGAGAAAAATCTGTTGCTGATTGTGAATGATGTTAAGATTCAACATTTAACAACATATCACTTACAGAGGAGTTTGCCGCCATGCTCAAAAGAAAATAGTATCCTCCTGATTCCCTGCCTATTTCACAGCAGATCTGCCTCTGGGCCAACTCAACCCCTCTGGTTAGCAAAAACGCAGTCTCACAAGCTAAGTCATTATAACAGGTTCTTGCTAACACAAAAGGGAAGGCCCAGAGCCCTCTCCATTATCCTCCTTCTCCTGCTGCTTTGCTTTTGCCAGCTGCAGTACTTTATAGACCCTTTTAGGGACTTCTGTAACTCAAAGCAGCAGAAAAAAAACCAACAAGGAAGAAAATGTCTCAAAAAGAACTGTGAATAGTCCTAAAAGACCTAAAGAATCAGCTTGCAGAAACAAAGCAGATTCCACTAATCAGTATTAAACCTGCCAGCAGTCAGTCAGAACTCAGCATAACTGACTTGGGTGCTCAGAACAACCTCCATGGGATCTTGCATTTGTTAACATTTATCTGCTGAATTCTGTGCTGTGTGAGGACAAGAAAAACCCTGTAATCCCTGAATGCAGTAGGCAATCAAATTCCAAAGACAACTGAAGCAAAGTGAAGACCAAGAAGCAAGGCTGCAGCTGTCAAGGCTGTCAATGACTAAGTACGATGTCGCAAAAGCAGTTTGTACTCCTTGTAAAGGAAAGATCAGAGGAACACACTCACCTTATCTGGATGAACAACAAGCACTGCTTTCCTGTAGTACTTCTTTACTTGTTCAGGAGTTACTAGATCTGCCATGCTGACTGGTTTCCATTTATTTTCCCCCTCCCAAAGCACTGTATGCAAAGTGGATATTAATGCTCTGATATTTCTCTCCTTCCCTTCAATCCACTCAAGAATCTGGGGAAAACCAAATGTATAGAACTGAATGCAGCACTGCAAACATTCTCAGTCTGTCCAGAGATACAACCTTCACTAGTACAAAACTACTAGATTAAGACCCAGGTACAGCTGGACTTGGAAGGGTGAATGCAGCAAGACAACTGTTTTAGTGTTCTACTTTCTGGCACCCAGATCATTAGTCACCCAAAAAGTGCTATTTTCCATCTGCCACTAGAGAGCAGCTCATTGTTATTATATATTGTTCATTGCAGAAACTCAAGTCACTGCAAGAGAAATTACACAGACCATTACATAACACTTAACTCTGTAAAATTAGTGACAAGAGAATTGACAGGAGTAATTAAAAGCATCTGTTACATTAACTCCCTGCTAGGTAAAAACATTGATTTACTATTCTTGCTTGATTTGTACAAACGTTTCAGATCACATACATTAATAGTCATTGTTTACTTAAGCAACCTGCAGGGCTGCTGAAGTGCTCTTTCAGATATCCCCATGAAAGTTAATTAGAATAACTTGCCATTTCACTGACTCTAACAGCAATAACGAAGCCACTGCGACACAGTGTCTTCACTGAACAGTGTTATGTAATACGAAAACCTCTGCTCTCTATCAGCAACAAGCACGGTAAATAAACTGTATTTTCATTTACAGGAATTTTTGTTAAAATGTACAACCTATGCACACTCTCTTCACGTAAGACACTTGGTAAAAATGAATTTCGGCAACTCTCTAAAGTTCTTTTACAAACTTTTCTAAAGCACTATAAAGACTACAAACCCCAAAGTATCTTAATATGTGATATTATGAGTAATACATCCAAAAAATCTGAACAGTTGATCAGGTAACAGCCCACAGACTAGTTCTATTGCCCACCTCCAGAACTGCATGGTTTAGCAATTTCTTAGGACAGCAGTAGCACTCCTTAAAGGGTGACTGCAATAAGGGGCCACCCTGACAACAGCTATTCCCATCTCTTTGTTCTCTAAAGCGTAGTTTTGTATTATCAGGCAAATCTATCTTTACTGAGCAGACCTTTGGGAACACTAGAGAAAAAGAAAGTTCTGGCTTCAAGAAACTGACTCTGACAAAGTCTCTGACAAAGAAACATGTACAAGAACACTCATCTGAAAGAAGTGTGCGGATTGAACAAAAGTTTTCTTTGGCTGCTTTAACTGCTGCTTTATTGCCAACTGACTCTCGCTTATGTTAATTAACTTCTATGCCATGTGACTTAACCAGATAAAATTTCATTCCGCTCTGTTAGATAGTGTATCCTTCTGCTCTGTTATAAGCAGTTCTAAGAGTAAGCTTAGATTTTCATGTAAAATCATTTAAACAAACCTTGAGTTTCAAAGGGTCCATATCTTTAGACATTTCTTGCTTTCTCATCTCAGCAATGGTCTTTGGTCCCTTTTTATCAGATTTAGCTGAAAACCCCTGATTACATAAGAGATCTTCAAAGTCATTTTCTGAAACTTTTGGCTTTTGAGCTGTGAAAGAAAAACAATAAATGAAAAGTTACATAGGAGAATACATTAATGAGGGAAGTATATTGCATTTAGATACACCTGCACGACATTTCTTTTTACAATGATAAACATCTTTCAGCAGCTTGATAAACTCCACATGATAAACAGGACAGGAAGAAAAGGGATCACTGACAAGCTTTAAGCCCAGCAGAACAGAAAACCTTAGGTACATACATGTGACTAAATACTTGCATGTCCTTTTTAACTCTAGTTAAATGCATGTAGTAAACAAATACGCTGAAACTTAAGCAGAATAATGAAAGGATAAAATATCAACATGAACTGTCATTAGAAAACCAATAAATTTTAGTGAACTGTAGAATAATCAAATTCTGAAGAGGCCTCTCCATGTTATCCAGCCCAATCCCCACTCAGAACAGGGACAACCAGATAAGTTTTTTCAGGTCCTTGTCCAGTTGAGCTCCACCTGTTTTCAAGAATGAGGAATCACAACGTCCCATGCCCTGTTCCAGCACTTCATCATGCTATTTCATTCTTTTCCCCCATTCTCCAAGCAGAATTTGTGCAACTTGTGCCCACTGCCTCTCCATCCTATCACCTCCTTCCACATACAGAACAGAATCATTTCAACTTGTAAAAGTATGTGCTGTTCACTTACATGCCAGCTAAAAGAGAAGTATAGTCCTAATACCAACACATCAGCAAAATAAAATTTTCCAAGAATGTTAATGTGGAAGAGGCCATACTCATCCCTATATCTCTAGGTTTGCTTATTCAGTTGGAACTGAATACGGACTGGTTCCAAGAACAATTCCACCTGATCCCATCCCGTTTCTGTTTGAAACACAAGAATTTCCACTAAGTTCAACCTCAGTCTTTCTTAAGATTAGCTACTATTTTTCAGCTGAGAAAAACTTTGCATCCTTTTACCCATGTATCAAAAGTGGGCTAGTCTGATGCAATTTTTATCAACCATCTCTCCCTGGATAGATCAAATTTATCTTTCCAACCCAGTACCCATGTGGGTGAGTCAATAAGCCTTGATGGTATATGCCCAAACTCGTACATAGTTGGGCCATGGTCAACACAACTCTAATATTCTAGCTCTGCAAAAGCAGGACTGCAGATTTGCCAATCTCTTTTCTGATTTCTATTAGATACACGATAAATGTAAATCAAACAATGAAGGTACAAGAGTTTTGCAGCTAACAGCAGATCTGACTAACTTCACACAGGCCACTGTAAGTAATGCCTTCAGAAAACTTACCAAAGCTTGGGATTCTGACTCCTCTCTCTTCTCGTCCTCCAATAACACTGAAGTTTACTGTGTAATTGGGTTTAGCTGCTGTGCTGGATTTAGTCTGGGACTGCCATGAAGTACTTTGTGTTTTCGTTGGTTTCTGCCACTGATTTCCCAACTTTTGTGCTGAAGCTGTCTTCTGACCAAAGCCAGTATTTGTGTGTCCACTGCTGGAAGAACCTAACAATAAATACTGAATTAGCTGTTCAGCTCTGTATCTGTCACCTCTTTAATACAAGTAAGACAGTTTTGTTTTGACATCCAACCACATGGTTTACAGTGATACTACAATACAAGAGCAACTGCAATAGAAAATTGTGTGTAAAATGAAGTTAAGAGTCTCCCTAACAAGTAACTTGGACAGCAGGAGCTAGAGCTGTTACTGAAAGTCTTCCAGCCTCTTACAATTCAAGTTTTAGCAGAAGTATTCAGTGTTGTCTGACTGGCCCAGCATGTGTAAAGCCAGAAAATATTTCAGCAGTGACAGTAGATATGCCTCCCAGTCAATCACACTCCAACATCTGTTAATACGTAGAGAACACTGAAAAAATTATATGATCAAGAAAATGTAATATATTAAGAATAACTTCAAATTAATACTTTCAAATTCTCAGTAATTTCTTGCACTACTGTTGAAGAAAGATGAAAAGATTATTCTACAGCAGCATTGAAAGGGAATGTTGCACATGAATTAAAAAAAAAACACAAAAAACCAGTGAGGCCTGCAAAAGACACTGTTGCAATCACAGCGCCATGATCTACAGGCCTCTGTCTATCAACACAGTATTGACTCAGTTTTTAGTGTCTCATTTCCCTTCATTAAACCAGGATAACTAACACTGCTTCACAGTTTCACCTGAGACTCACTTTGGGCATTTCCTCCACTCTACAACAATCACTGTGAAAGAACTGAGGAGAATAAGGCTCCAGCTTTTTAAACTCATCATGCAACTTGTTGTCTCACTGATTAGAATGAACGTGCAATTTTTTTTATTCCAACTCAAGCCACCATTAAATTGCACTTGATTGACTTCCTTCGAAAAGGTTCCTAGAAACTCAGTTCCCTTGAAAAGCTGCATATAACTGGAATGCACTGCCCATCACAGATAAAAAATAGCATGATAACTGAACTTAGATACATCTACATTTTTGGAAGCAGAACATTTTATACCACACTTAACATATCCTAAACCAGATTAAAATCTCTTCATGTGGGAAGAATTCCTAAAAATGACAGAACACAAATTCAAGACTAGTAGTCAAATACTGTTCCACAACTGAAGCCAGACAGGAATCATACAATGATTTGGGATTAAAGGGCCCTTAAAGTTCTTTAGTTCCAGCTCTCCCTGTCATGGGCAAGGACACCTCCCACTGGACCAGGTTACACAAAATACCATCCAGCCTGGCCTTGAACACCTCCAGGGAGACACAACTTTTCTGGGTAACCTGTTCCAGTGTTCCACCAATCTCAGAAAAGAACTTCTTCCTAATATCTCATCTAAATCTACTCTCTTTCAGTTTGAAACCATTAGCCCCTGTGCTATTACTACACTTCCTGATAGAGAGTCCCTTCCCATCTTTCCTGTAGGCCTCCTTGAAGTTCCATAATCACACAGTCACAGAATGTGCTGGGTTAGAAGGGACCTTTAGAGGTCATCTAGTCCAATCTCCCTGAGGCAGGAAAAGTCATTAAGTACCTTAGCCTTCTCCGCATGCCAGGTAACCAGGTATCCTGTTTCCTTCCAGAGAGGGCCCACATTATCTGTAGTCTTCCTTTTATCACTAATATACCTACAGAATCTTTTCTTGATGCTCTTGACATCCCAGAATAGATAATTCTATCAAGGCTTTGGCTTTCCTAATCTGATCAATGGCTGCTCACACACTTTCCCTGTATCCCTCCAGGCTTCCACCCTCTATAGGCTTCCTTTTTGTGTCTGAATTTGTCCAGGAGCTCCTTGCTCCTTCTTGGAGATCTGGCATTTTTGCCTGACTTCCTCTTTGTCCGGATGCATCACTCCTGAGCTTGGAGTAGGTGATCCTTGAATTCTGACCAGCTTTTTGGGGTCCTTCTTCCCTCCAGGGCTGTACTGCGGAGTACTCTCTCAAGCAGGTCCTTGAAGAGACCAATCTGCTCTCTTGAAGTCCAGGGTAGCAAGCATGCTGTGCTCCCTTTTTGCTACCCTAAGGATCTTGAACTCCACCATTTAATTCTCACCACAGCCCCAGTAGCCCCTTCTTGTTGGCGAAAAGTTTCAGTATGGCATGTCTCCTTGTTGGCTCCTCTATCACTTGGAGGAAGAAGTTATCATCAATGCATTACAAGAACCTCCTGGATTGCTTATGCCCAGCTGTGTTGTCCCCCCATGAGGACCAGGGCTTGTGAACGTGAGGCTGCCTCTGTCTTTCTACAGAGGACTTCATCCACTCAGTCTTCATGGTCATATGGCCTGTAGCAGACTCCCACTATAGCACCACCCCTCTGTGCACACCTTTTAATACTGATCCATAAGCTCTTGGTCAGCTCCTCATCCATCCCCAGCGGAGCTCCATACACTCCAGCTGCTCACTGACACAGAGGGCAACACTCCCTCCTCATCTCCCCTGCCTGTCCTCCTTAAAGAGCCTGTATCCTTCCATCCCCAAACTGCAGTCATAGAAGCCATCCCATTGTATCCCTGTGATACCAATAAGATCATAGCCCTAAAGGCTATGGAAGTATAATATGAATGAAATACACTTCAAAACCAGAAATCTTTACCACTTGGTCTTGAATGACAAACTTGCAATCCTATCTCATTATTTCTTGGAGGAAAGTGAACTAGTATTTGCATCTCTACATACATTATTAATTAGACCCTGATGATTAGAACTTAATTTCCAGCTCAAAAGTATCCCAAGCTAGTTTAAACTTATTTTCTTGTTTGTACTTCTCTCCCCACCTTTTATTCACCCTAAAGCCTCAGAAAAAACACCCAAGCTTGTCTGGGTATATACCGCAGTGTAACCTCGGTTCCTCTTTCAAAACTGGTTTCCCACCCCTTACACTCCTGATAGCTCTTTTGTAACTGCTGCTCATAGTAAAAACTTACACAAGTGCACGTCTCCCTAGGGCCATGTAAAACATTCCGTACTGTACCACTAAATACCACACCTGATGAAACCTAGTATTGCAATACCACACCTGGTAAAATCTAGGATTGAACTCTTCTTTCATTAAAGCACCCAACTGCATAGTCTTCAGTCACTTCTAACTTGTGAGATGTACAGAAAGGCATCCCTGTTACTAGTCGGAATAACATGACCTCACACACTGAAAATTGATCTCATTCTACTATATTTTCAAAGCATTCTACATTCATTATTTTGGTGAAGGCAAAACAATTCTTCCCGTAGGACAAGACAATACCTCACTACCAGCAGCAACTTTTCAATGGCACACTCCTGCTTTCTAGTACAAGGACATTCCTAGAAATGAAGAGCATGACAATACCAACTATAACAGAACACTGTTGGTATCCTACCACTGCTATTAACTACGTTTAGCTATTATTTCTTTTCTGTTTATACAGCATTCCTGATTAAGCAAGCTTTCATTGTCATAACTCTTCTTCCAGAATGACTTGTAAGTGAAGGCAAAAAACCGCTCCTACAAAAAAACACCACCAAATTTAAACTACAGTTCTTACAATTCCTTGAAAAAGGGATTCAAGCCTGAGAAGGTTAACCAGCAGAGTAACATCTGGCTACTTTTTAATGCAGTACTTTCTCCTATTGAAAGTTAACTCAAAGGCTATTGAACTCATCTAAATTCTGCAAATATCATATAATTTCTTCCACTGGTTCAGTGCATGCAATACCTGCATCTCTAAGTGAAAGGTAAACTGATTTTTTTACTGTCCCACTATTTTTAGATCTAACAAGCCCCTATTAACCTGAAATTTATAAATTGTTTACTGCAAAGCAGTCTTACTGGTACTGTGTCAATACTAGAAATTTGCACAGGCAACAAAGAAACCACGTATTGTATACTCCCTCATGTTTATGGAAGATACGTCCACCAAGAGGGTACTCAATTCAACACACAGTGCTAACTGCCACAATGATAGGATAAAGCCTGTCAGCTCCAAGCTAAGGGAAAAGCACGTTTCTGCAATTCTGCAACTCAGCTACTGTCGGCTCTCCCAAATCTCTCCTTGGACTACTGACAGACAATCACAGTTAGCAGCTACAAACCAGCCATTTGCTATGGCAGTGTGGTCCTGAAATGCAAGGACTTCATTTTATTGCCCTTAGTTTTTCTGCTGTTTAGGAATGCTGCATCATCTTCATAACTACTTGTGTACACCACTGCAAACTGACAGATGTTCAAAATGCTCGCAGTATTAGCGTACAAGCACAAGCTTGATTTGTGCTCATTTAAAAACATGACTGATTTGAGTACTGGAGTTAGGAAGGCCTACTGAATTCAAAAAGTACTGTATTTAAAGGAAAACAACTCAGATCTAAATTAATTTATCACAGCTTTCATTTTTATATCTTTCACAGCACTGTACCTATCAATGCTAAATAAGAAACCTTATGGTCAGCTACTGAATCAGCAATCCCTGGTTTCTCTTACCTTCTCAACTAGATTCTGAGGCATTAAGTATTTCTACTGTTTCTATATCACAGCTGTAGTTATTTTCTGAAATACTATTCAGGATACTTCACACAATCTCTGTAACGATTTGATGTTTTCTCGTTGCTTGTCTGCTCTCAGCAACTGCCTCAAGATGGCTGTTAACAATTACAGGCAAACACTTTCCTGTATATAAGCTATCAGTTACTGCTAAATGCAGTACAAGGAACAAAACCAAAAGCAAGACCCTACCTGGAAGACTAGAGCCAAGACTGCCAAGATCAGCGAAAGGATCAAAGTTCTGGGATTTAGCCTGGCTGAACGACAGACCTGAAGATACATTGGACTGGCTCCCTGTAGTGAAAGCCTGACCTGTAGGATAAGAAAACAGATCATGTACTTAGCATATTTGGAAATTGAAAGAATGAATACACGTAGTACTTCCACAATACCCTGTGTAAACCTCCACCCCCAGCACTGTGTTCCATGACATCTTTTACCACAACAAGAATCACCATTACAACCAAAATTATTTGGTTCCTCTGCCTTGAACTTATTCCAAAAAACTATGTAATTGCTTACTAAAGGGGCATTTAAGCACAAGAGTACTGAGTCTTTTAAGCAACAAAGCAAAACGGTATGAAGGCCTGCTCAGCAGTTTCAGCTAATTAAACTGAACCAACTCTGGAGTATACTTTACTCCCTGAAATAGAAAAAAATTCATTTCATAATACCTTCAAAAAGAGGCTTCAACTGTGGTGGTGCTACATTGTTTGTTCTTGAGGAATCTGCCCAAGAATCCCATCCACCTAACAGATCTGGATGGCTTGTAGATGATGATACTTTAGGTGGCTCGGCTGTCAAATTCCCTACAGAAGAAAAAAGAAATATTTTGATTATTCTTTTAAAACCATTACAATAAATAATATTTTACCAATTCCAACAGAACTGCATACCACACATTGGTAGCTACAATGTTTACTTAAACTTCTACCTAACACAGTCATACAGTCTTAAACAGTACTCAAAGGTCTTACCACTGAAATTCTTTCATTGGTATTTGAAACTTCCCACACATTTCATAAAGAAGATGTTTTTATACAGAGGCAATGCCCATGAATTTAACAGCTTAGGTCTGCCGGCAGAAGGACTAGCTAAGGGATGGCTTCACGGCATGCTGCTGCTCCTGACAACGCAGCAGGTAACCAGCAAGCAGCAGTGCTCCACAAAAGGGCACTCTGTCACTCAGCAGTCTGGGTGCTTACCGTTGGTGGAGCCAGGTCACTTGCAACTACAGATTTGCCTACCCCAGCCTTCATACGACACAGGGTGCTCTTAACGTACTACTAGTCCTCTCAGGTTCAATGCATGAATGAATGCATGCAATTAAAGAGCAAGATACAGTGCTCTCTTCTGGGAAAAGATTGAGAATCACTAGCTTCATGGATAAAAGCTGTCAGTTTGAAACAGACAAAGAAAGACGGCATCTTCAAAACGACGCAAGAGTGCTTCCACCAACTTCTAAAAAAATGTCACGTCCGACACAGGGTTATAACTGCCAACCCTGATCCTCGTAAATGATTTCACCCTTTCTCTCACAAGCTGCGTGAGGTGAGTCATCCCCTGAATGAGAGATACTAGGTATGGAATACTCAAAGCTGCATGCCAGCTTTGAACACTCCATCTGAGCACAGCTTGTAGAGGCTCACAGTGAAGCAGGACAGCTTTTGAATGTAACCTCTTCTTCAATGCTATGACAACAGTCATCGCACAAACAGACGTGATATTTCAACAAAACCAGAGAATCGTAGACTGGCCTAGGCTGGAAGGGACCTTAGAGATCATCCAGTCCAACCTCCCTGTCATGGGCAGGGACGCCTCTCAACTACATCAGGTTACTCCAGGCTCTGTCCAACTTGGCCTTGAACACCTCCAAGGAGGGCCAGTATATTTATTGTGGTTTTTTAAGACATTTTTAAGACCTAGAGTTTGGAAAGCCATCCTTACAAAAATAGTGACATTTCGATGCTTTGAATGTTCTAATCACTACACCACAGCTTAGCACTTCTCTCTGCTTCTCCACTTTGTATTTCGAATATTGACATCAAATCATAAAAGCTGTATTATTTGACGAAGTAGTTTGAAGCAAATTAAGTACCTCTTCCATCACCTCTATGCACTAATCCCATCTATACTTAGATCTTACAGTTGCAAAGAGAGCACATCAAATGCCCTGCAACAAATGTCTATTAAGAGCCTGTATTATACAGTCACCTCTGTGGCATGTAAAGAACAGCAGCACAAAACGGCTGAGGTAGCTACCAAAGTCTTCTGAAGATACACTACATTTTTCAGCCCTTTCTCCAGTCTTAAGTCTCATCTCCCCTGCCTCTGAAACCATGGGAGAAACAGTATGTATTTGCCTCGGTACTCAGGATCCCAGCTATCTGCTACACAATGGTGTCATTGGCTATAAACCATGAAAATATTCAAAAACGTCTATTCATCAGTTTAGAATTTTGCTGTACTCTATGCCACTCCCAAATGTTAACTGGGCCTTGAATTAACATGAGTATTTACTTTTATGCTAGAAATAATTTTGGCTTATGATATTTGCTGTTACAAGATTTTTTTACAGGGGCATGAAGAGATTTACAACTACTCATGGAATTAACTGCAATAAAACCAATGTTGAGAGAAATAGGAGTGAAATAAACCAAAGCTGAAGGTAAGAATCAAATGTTTTATTACTGCTGCCTTAGGAGCACTCAAGTTGACTACCAACGCCACCCTAAACAAAGCAGGGAGTAGCCTACTGCTATTTACAGCAGTAAATTCGCTATGAAAAGCACATGCTTATGTATGTCTACTACACTTTCATAGAAAAATTTGAAGCAATGGCGTACAATATGCAACATACTGAACAGATAAATATGTCTGGAACTGTTTATTCTTAATGTCATATTTTTTCTAGATGTATAGCTTGGGTATCACAATAGATTTTAATATCAAGAAGCAGCGCTACCAACATGATACTCCTACATATTCTGAAAGAGGTATGATGAGACCACATGCCAAAGCTCTTTTTCTTGTACCCTGGCACACTGGAGTTCAAACAGACACATTAAGCAGAATCTCTAAAGAAAGGGTAAAACATAAAGCATGGCTAAATATTCTGAAAGCTGAAGCAACTGAGATCATACACAAGCACATCCATATCTCCTCATCCATTAAGTTCTACTTTAATGTGCATATTTATAATCCTTAGCTATGCAGCACTGGCGGTGAGGGCACAGTTCTTTACTAACACTGCAAGCTAAGATGTAAAAATAAGTCAGTGTCAATCAGATCACACTTTCCAGCTTCTTAAAATAAGAAACTTGCTTTTTACTATATCCTACACATGACTTCATACTAGATTTTCTTTATTTAGCTTGTCATCTCTACAGGAAATCCGTTAATCACAGACGACAACAGGATTTTCTGTAAACTCAGTGGTTGGTTTAGTATGATGCAAGGTGTTTTTTTTTAACCTTGTCTAAAGCCTGAGAACACAGTCATCACATAAGAGCAGGCTATCCACTCTGAAAGAAAAAGTCATCCTACATAGTAGCTTCTCAGCCAAATTACTACAGCTTGTCAGAGAAAATTACTTTAATACATTGCTGCTTAGCAGCAGCTGCTCAATTTTCACGTTAAAGGACAGAATGCCTTAACAAACTAGATATTCTTTAAGAACTACCTTTCTTGCAAATTGAAAGGACATTTTAAAACTATGATTTTAAATTTCAAGCCACATTGAAAAATACAAGCCTAAATTTCTAATTCTTGCACTTCTGTTCACTGAAACAGCTTTTTTTCTGGTATCTACAGAAGTTTAGTAATTGTTTACTACTGAAGAAAACTTATCCGTCATTCAACTTTAATTCTAAACACCTTTCTGCTGCAGCATAGGATTCACTGTATCTCATTGTTGCACTGTATTTTGAAAGAACACTGACATTACTACTAGTTTATTTAGTGAGTTTGAATTTATCACTTTAATGACCTCACGTTTGCACCTTTTTCTCCTGACAATTCTTCCAAATATGTCATTTGAGAACACACTCTCATTTGCCCTTTCTTCTCTGGTTACTAGTTATCACATCCTTTCACTCCCACTCACTCACAATAAGAGTTTTATGGCTATTAATATTCCTAACCTTCTTGGTAAAACTGATACCTGTGACTAGTTAGAATCTAAAGGCTCAAATAGATACTTCATTTCAGCTAAAAGCATAGAAAAGTTGTCATTTGAAAGGTAAACACAATCAGTCATGAAATGTTACTACAATTCCTCCACTTCCATAGCATTTTTAAAGCCTGCATAGAAACAGAAAAATATTGGGAAAATCACTGTATAACAGGAGGCTGAAGAGAATAAGACAGGTGCATTTTAATTATCTATCTCCAATGTTGACAGAAGGCTCCAGAAATTACATTAAAATAGCAGGTACACTAATGCACCAACCAGGGTGCAAGTTATGAACTGAAATCAGGACGAGTCAATATAAAAAAATAAGCATTGAATGTCAAAATGTCAGATGTCAAAATATTTTTTCTTCTATACTTGCTCAATTATTATTAACAGCTTAACAATGATGGTCTCCTTGAGATTGCAGGTATACATTTAGAAAGTCGAAATTTATGCTTTGTTTTTTTCACGTTCCATATATTTTTAAATTTAGCACATAAGCATTCTATAGGACAAAAGGAAAATGTTGCAAAGGAAGCAGCAAGCGGTATCTTCTGAGCAGAATCACGCACAGCTGAAATACAATGTTTAAATACATGGTAGAGGGCAGTCACTCAACTAGCCTTTTATTTCAAGGAGGAAGCCCTTATCTCACAAAAGTCATCTCAGATACTGCACCTTTCTTTATCGAGTTGCTCTGTAGCTAACTCTGCATCATAGAGAGGCAGGGTCCAATAGATAACTGTCCAACAAAGAGGGCAAGTCAAACCCACATGTATAAGCTCTGGGAACAATCCGTTCCTGGATTGAAGGTAAGAAATGTTATATCACCATTCCTAACTAATAAGTGGGAGGTCAGCAGGGGTGGCCTTTGTGAAGAAAGGCCTAGGCTGCTTCATGCTGGACATATGCAGCTCCCACAGACCCAGTACAGGACACAGCGGAACCCCTCAGCCAACCTGGTGGCACTCCTGTGAAACTATATATAAAAAAAATATGTAAAACACACTGCACAGTGGCTGAGAAAGGAGTGAGAAAAGCATGAGAGAAAACAGCTCTGCGGACACCCAGGTCAGTGAAGAAGGAGGTGGAGGAGATGCTCAAGGTGCCAGAGGAGAGATTCCCCTGCAGCTGGCAGAGCAGATCACAGCCAACACCCATGCTGCGGCCTGTGAAGGACCCCACGCAGGTGTACACGCTCTGGATGCGGCCACAGCCCATGGAGAGGAGCCCATGCAGCAGCAAGCTCCTGGTGGAAGCTGCATCCCCTCAGGGACCCATGCGGAAGCATTCTGTTCCTGAAGAACTGTATACGGAGACTCATGTTTCTGAAAGAGTGTATCACGTGGGAAGGACCTACACAGGAGCAGGGGAACAGTGGGGATGACAGCACAGAGAAGAGCTGCCACAGACTGACCGCAACTCCCATTCCTATGGAGATAGGAAAAGCAACACTTCTGGTTCCACCACGGCACCACTTTTGTAAGAGTATGTTTCTCTTTGAAGAATGAGTCGCACTTTGGAAATAAGGTGCTTAGGATGGAGATATGGGAAGACCAAACATATTGTAAACTTTGTTTAAAGATTTATATATTTTAAAAATATATGCACAAGGAAAAGGCTTCACCAAGAATACACCAGAGAAATGAAACAAATAAGATTAGTGCATTACATAACATACTCCATAAGTATATTAACAGAATGCATTCAGGTCAAGACGGTCCAAGCTACCTTCAGCTTGCATTTTAAGAACTGGCTATACTATAACTTGACTTGCTCATTTCCTTTCCAAGGCTTCCAGAGATATCTTTAAAAGCTCACAACAATCAAAATAGCATTCTGCCATCTAGAAAATAAGTTTGCAGCTCCAAAAAGCTCCAAAAGCTCTCAGAGAAAACTCCAGCTCCTAAGAGAAGGTTAGCAATGCCAGAAATACTCTTGCACAATAAATATTAACACGACATTACAAAGGAAACCCTTGCTAATTGGTGCATTTGTATCTGTGTTCCCAGAACATGAAGCTAATTAAAGCAGCAGTCACAACAAGTGGATCTATTAAGGCATTAATCCACACTGACTAAGCTGAAAGACAAATGCACAGACCAGCAGCAACTGTTGAGAAAGAGAACACCAAAAGCACACTTACCTAAATTTAACAAGTCTGAGCTGGAAGAAGGTGGAAATGAACTCTGTGTCGAAGTAACCGTAATAGCTGTAGATGTTGAGCTTGGGTTAAGAAAGCCCTCAAAGAGGTCTGGACCAGACAAGGCTGGATTCTCTGAACTTGATGACACTGTGAATGGGTCAAAAGGATCAGCTAAAAAAGAAACAGAAAACAAAATTATCTTTTGACAAATTTTAGAATAAACAGAGTTGAAAAAGTCGTACTCTGTTGGAAGCACAGACAAAAAGTAAAGTTCATGTTGGTAACTACAGCAGCCCTCTGGGATTTTTTTTGTGGCAAAGAGTCACTATTTGTCCCTTCCTCTAGACACCTGTATATTCATGTTGGTAAAAATTACTTCAACCCTACAGAATATGAAGAGCTGTGTCTTCAAGCACAAATTCTTATCAAGGCTGCATACATTCAGTAATATTGTTAATTTCATTCATGCAAGACACACCTCAAATCTGAGCAGTCATCTGCATAAAGAAGAATTACATTTGTCAAATGCTCTAACACCAAACCTCCGAATAATTTAAACAAAACAGACTACTAATAAACTACTAAAAAGCATATCAAGTAAAACATTCATACTACCACTTTGACTTGAAGGCATTGCTGACTCTGGGGCAGAAAGCACGACAACTCAAGAATGAAAATCAACAGAAGCAAGCTTTCAACAGGTCTCTAGTGATCACAAGGACAAAAAACCTAATTGGAAGAGTATTTATAGTCAGCATGGGGTAACGTGACAAGTCAGATGGAATCATGGCTAAAGATCTTCCAGTTTCTGCTGCCCTCTAGGGTCAAAATGCTGAAGAGCCCAGGGACTCCTGCCAGATTCACTTAGAAGCTGAAGAGAAGGAATAAGCTTGCCATAGTGCCCCAGCACATCCTGAGGTCATGACCACATTGTAGAGGACTCAGCAACACTCCAGAAAAAACAAACCACTCCAAAACCACCCCAAGCCTAGACTGTCATCAAGCTATCTTACTACAGCATTGCACATACACAAACCTCAAGTACAAGTTGAATGTGCAAACTGAAATAAAACAGTGGTCAAATATTTGCACTTCAGCAATTATATTTCTGTTAACCAATTCAAAGATAGAATGAGATACACACATGACTACTGCCCAGCTATTTTACAGAGTAGATACAATAAAGAGCCAAGGAGGGGCTGGCCCTTAAACAGATACTCTCTGTTAACCCCACTCCTTTCCCAGAAAGGAAAGATAAGGGGAATCAGGGAGAAACACGGATTGGAAAATGAGAACAGCTTTAAGGGAACAATAAAAAGAGAAGATAGTATTAATAAGAAAAATATACAAATATACATAAAACCAATATTGAATCCCACACAGACATTTTGACCTAAGCAGCACAGCCTTGTACCATATCTAATGTTATTGCTTTATATAAACCAAAAGAAGCAAGCTATTACAATTCTATGACATAGTAAGAGAACTTACTTACATGTGGATTTAGAAAAGGATCTAGCATGGAAGGTTTTTATGGGAAAGCTATAGATTCATTAAGGATACTAAATTCCTTTAAATTCAAAATCTGATACTTTTCTGTTTACATGGTTTAAAGCTAATAGGATATCACCTAGATAATACACTGTAGTTTCTCTCCTTCATGCAGTAAAAACACCTGTTCTTCACAGATTCTTCTATTGACCAACATGTGTTCACTATATCTATCAAACCATGGTATCATATTCTAAGCACAATGCAAGCAGCAGTTTTTATCTGTTGGTCAGCCAAAGGGCACAGATATTCAATTCACATACCTGAAGACACAGATTCTGCTGAAGACATACCCTGAGTAGCAGCTGGACACTGACTGCTGAAGAAGAAATCTGTTCCTTGCCCAAGAAGATCTCCAGTGGGCTCTTCTGAAGTCTGTGATGGATTACCCACAAACAAATTGTTCAACAAGTCTGCATTACTTGATGAAGAGTTTATTTCTGAGACAGGTTGTTTCTGTTCTGGTGAAGTATCAGAGTCTAGTCCTAGTAAGTCTACATTCTCTTCAGGAAGAGATTTTTGTAACTGTGGTTCAAAAAGCAACTGTCCTCCTGGAGTAACAGAGTCTTTTCCATCAATTACTGCACTTTCTTCACCTGGAAATGTAGGGAATTCTTCATCCGAAGGATCACTCTCCTCCTTGTCATCAGATAGTTGAACATGGTCATTTTTAGATGAACCATCCTCTATTCCACTTTCCGGACTTTTTCCTTCTTGAATAAAAAGCAGTAACAACTTTAGATTACCAGGATTCTCCTGCCAACTAGGATAAGACAGACTTACATGGTGATACCACATTAAATCAATCTTTAATTAATCAAACCTTACAAGGCAGGCAAAGGGACAGCTCACTACCATACTTGGCACTCTGCAACGGCAGGTATTAACAAATATTTTCAAAATGAGACTGACTTAGACATTGACCTTCGGACATGATACTGCTTACAGCTTAGATCATTCAGTAACTGCTGCTCTAATCAACTGGCAGCATTCAATGACAGCATAATCAGGTACTAACATTTCTGCCAACAAAGCAGAACACAGAAAAACGATTTACAGATGCACTATGAAGTTGCATTTTATCAGTCAACACATATTGATCTCGACCCCAATAGCTAGTCTACTTAATTTCCTCTTCTTTTTCAGCCAGCAGAAAAGTGGGGTTTGGGGAAAAGCTCCCTTGTAGATCTTCAAGGCTAAGATTTTTGCAGAAAAAGAAAAATTTTGCTCAGCATTTAAGTTACACATAATGCAAAAAAAAGTTATTTGCCATTTATCCAAACAAAGTTGAATGACCACTTGTTAACCTACAGAGCTCACTCTTTAGACAACTTTTTCTAATGGTCTGGTAAAATAGTAACTTCTGCTGCATAAGAAGGCTTAAGTACTCATTTGAAAGTGTACAAGGCAAACATACAACAAATAGTTAATACAGAGGAAAACCGGTACCTCTCCAATCCAGAGAATGAAAGAAGTTATTTGCATCAGTACTACTGCTGTGTGGGGATTCTGTATCAGTAGGTGCACTTTCTGAAGACTGCTCTTGCTGGGATGCTTCTGCTTCATATTGTGCAGTTGAACCTGGTTGTCTAGGCAGCTCTGGTTTCCCTATGAAATAGAATCATTGCATTTTTTCAATTGGTTTGTCACTGTTGTCTTCATAGAATCATAGAATGGCCTAAGCTGGAAGGGACCTTAGAGATCATTTTAATCCAGCCTCCCTGCCACCAGGGACGCCACCTGTCGACTAGATCAGGCAACACATGGGGACCGAACGGGAATCGAACCCGCGACCTCAGTGTTGTTAGCACTACACTCAACTGTCAGAGCTAACGGGCTATAGATTGTCAGAAATCTTGGAGAGAAATGCCTAAAACTCAGTCCTGGTATAGTAGCTGGTATTTGACTTGCAGACTGATTGCTATAGCAGACAACTGCCACAAAGAATCTATTACTGTGGAAAGGCATCCTGGTTTGAGCTATACAGAACCAATTCTGTTCAGTGACTTTATTTTTCACCTCCATCTCTTCTAAGAGACTGCACTTTCTGAAGTAAGTAGGATGTTCTTGCAGACAGTGGCTGCTACTAGAAGTGGTATCACGTGATAATGTTTACCTCCCCTCTGCTGCCGAGCCTGGGACTTCCCAAGCGTCATCTGCTCTGCAGCATCAGTGGGGATTGGTAGAGGGGAGGGGGAATCAGGTTTGATATCAAATTTATACATATTTGTATATAGGTCATTATTTTTATTATTTCCTTATTAGTACACTATTACTGTTTTATTAAAGCTGGTTTAGTTTTCTTTTCCACTCTGTAAGTCTTCTCTGTGAGCAGTCAGTGGCCAGCCCAGCAGTATCACTCAACAAAAAGCAAACTGCCACTCTCAATTTGAAATTAGCATTATTAACTTTGTTCCAATTGCAAAAGCTGGTAAGATCTTACTTTCAACTATTTTCCTCAACGCAAACAGTTAAGTATTCATCTAGTTTGAAAAGAAGGGGATGAATGCTTGGAAGAAAGCTATGTATCTAAATTTAAATACCAAACTGGTACAGCACTTTTCACCCTCCTTCCACATACTCAGTTGTAACTTACAAAGATGTTGAAAAAATTGTCTGAAAATATACATGAAAGATCACAATTAATGAAACAGTGCAAATTTAATTTTAATAAGTAAGTTTTAAAAAGTCAGTTCACAGCCCTTGCTCTTGCCCTATTACCTTCCTACCAGTTTTAAGAAATACATTCAATAGAATTTGAAACACATTTCATTTTTAAATCAGAAAACAAAGATAACTTAAAGAGGAATTTTTACAGATCCTCATTATCAATGAAACAGCTTAACTTTCACGAGCTGACCATTGTTTTCACAGTAGGATTTTTAATATCCATATAACCAAGGTAAACGGAAAATTAAATAAATCACAAGAAAAAACAAACATATCTTGCTAACAAAGAGACAGCAGCAACTACCTTGTATCAAAAGAAATGTAATTAAGATGTACCATATTAAGAGCAGAGAGCAAGATCTCACGTATGGTTTACTAAGATCACCACAATAGTCTCCATCATGATTTTTATTCTGGTAGCACAGAGAAGGCTCAAGAGCCTTAATGAAAATGTTGAAGCTAATTACTGATACCAGGAGAAGAAAGATACTGAACAGCATTAATTTGAATTAATGTATGCATGTACAGATAAAGCATAAAACATGTAGTATTAAAAAAGTTAA